TACTATCATATGGCACTCGACCTATTAAAGCTAACTTATTTTCCAAAACACTCCAAAACAAATTGGGATCATTACTTGGCGAATACATACCACCACGTAAATTACATGAATAAGTGGCACTTAAGTAGGTATCCCTTTGGTACAAAGGATATAATATGTCACTGGCAATGGCAATATCTTCATGATAGTTTAAATTGCTAAATTCTTCAGTACAACTTTCCTCTGCCGGGTTATAATCACTAGCACTGATTGTGTTCGCTGTGGCCACAAAGTAACTAAGATTTCTTAAGTAGGTACCCTTTGGTACAAAGGATATAATACGTCACTGGCAAATATGGCAATATCTTCATGATAGTTTAAATTGCTGAATTCTTCAGTACAACTTTCCTCTGCCGGGTTATAATCACTAGCACTGATTGTGTTCGCTGTGGCCACAAAGTAACTAAGATTTCTTAAGTAGGTATCCCTTTGGTACAAAGGATATAATACGTCACTGGCATTGGCAATATCTTCATGATAGTTTAAATTGCTGAATTCTTCAGTACAACTTTCCTCTGCCGGGTTATAATTGTGTTGTGTTGATTTGTATAACTGGGATTTGTCAAATATTGATTTGTGTGTCACTGACCACCTACTATAGACATGGTCATTGTGCTCGAAAGCAACCCAGCCAAATAACTGGGATTTGTCAGATATTGATTTGTCTGACCACCTGCTATAGACATGGTCATTGTGCTCGAAAGCAACCCAGTAAAATAACTGGGATCATTTGTATATTGATTAAAAGCAGGATATTTATCATCAAAATAAAACATGCTTTGAAACTCATATTCTTGAACAACAAAACTATGCAAAAAATATATCTACATGTAACAAGATCTATTTCATCAACGTCCAAAGACCAAAGAGAATATTTTGGTCTAGCATTTAAACCACTGTGATTTAAACCCTTCACGCAGAGCAAAGTTGTACCTGCTGTGAATTCCTACGGACTAAAAACATGGCAGCTCTGTGCTGACTGTGCGTCTGCCGTTGAGATTTTCAATGTCGGTTTTATAGTCGATAAAACTTCGCAACTTAGCTTTTAATACTCTCACAATAATCTTCAACCATTTCAAATGAAATATGGAAAAAAATACAAAAAACTTCACTTACTTTCCCAAGAAACAGCAAAAACCACGGTCACTTAATAAAAAAACAAAATATCGCGGAGAGAAATCGAAGAGAGCGAGCACAATCATGGTCTTCGAGAATGTCTTCGAGTCGCTATGACGACATAATTATATATCATTGTTATATATTCACATAATTATTCACACCAGAACGAGGCAAATGTTACATCGCAAATCTCGAATCGACACGATTAGGAAGCGTTCTCCTTCGTCGAACGCAACAACTAAACGAAATAGCATTCTACTTCGATAATCTCAATCATGGTCGAGATCATAGTATAATAATTATTTTCAATCTATTATAGTAGTTCACTGTTTCCACGGGTTTTTATACTTTCAATAAGCTACAATAAAGCTAAATTTGTTTACATTTGTAGGAGTATTACTGTATTAAAAAAATTGTTTACTTCGAATAGTCAATCAATGATAAAACCTTGACTCTGACCTTGAGCAGTTGACCTTGTTATTACCGTCCCTTGCAACTGCAGATGAACAGTTAGCCTGCGAACAGGCTCTTTGAATTGAATTAGAACCTGCCGGTTTAGTCAATAAAAATACGTCTGTGCCCATCACTATTTATAGTGTTGTCAATCAAATGTAAAATACAATGTGACAAATTAATACAGACACGCCTTATGTAATAGCCTGCGAATATATGTAAACAAAACGCATATCTCGATTTCAACGCATGATTGTTTATAACATTAAAAGCACTTGTCTTTCTTTCAAACAACCCTGAAATTCCCTGAAGTAGCAATAAGAAGTGAATTCACATAAACACTGCAACGACTTGAGTTTGAACAACTACGGCGTACTAGAATGCTCAAGAATGCAAATTATAGTCGCCTTTGTCTTAGAGTAAAGATGCTATTGTTGATATACAGTAAGAACGTTGCCGTTGTATTTGCCAAACTCTCTTATACAGCAAAAACATCGTTTCCGTCTAGAATATTGTTAAGAGCTTTTGACTGCCCATCATTTAACTTTAAACAAAGATTTGTTTTCTATACAACTCGTCGCTATAGAACGATATTTTTCGATTTGAATCTATTGTTGTGTAAATTTAATTACCTTTTATGGCAGTATAATGTAGTTAATTCAATTTCAACCAATGGGAACCCTGCCTCGTTCTAAGCAACGCACAGACGCGTTTTTATTAGCTAGGCCTGCAGGCTCTCTCTCAAATTTCAAAGAGAGTTCAAAGAGAGCCTGTTCGCAGGCTAATGAACAGTCGCTCATAATGCATTGCCTATTCGTATGAGAATCTTACGTTTTATTATTTTGACATAATAGCTATTTTTTCAATATATATATATTGATATTAAACTTATTGAATCAATATGTTAAGTTTCAGGCCAGTTGGACCAAATTTTATAAGCGCTTGCGCACCACAAAGGCGGATATCGATTTCCATTCAGTGCAATATGTCGTGCGATCGACATTTTGCGATCACTTTCTTTTGAAATACAAGCAATCAAACGCAACCGATCAGGTTGACTGAACACATTTCAAAAGAAAGTGGTCGCAAAAAGTTGATCTCGCGATATTTTGCACTGAATGGAAATCGGCCTGAACGTTTCTAAGGCATGCAACATGTACGCACTGCGTACCTATTTTTTTAGTAAGTTATAGCGGTAATTTGTAATATAATCTATAGTGTTTGTTTGCCCTCGTGTTCCTGAGTCCCAGGCCCCCAAGCAAAATTTAGTACGACGGATTTTTTTCAAAAAATGTCAAAATTGCCATGTTTGAGGGCCTATATCTCAGAAACTATTGAACTAAATCGAAAAAAGTTGAAGAACTTGTAAAATAACTTTTTGCGCTCTTTTCAAATCCGTAAAGATCCCACAAGTGATATAGGTACTTTAAACATAGGGGATATAAGGCTGCGCGAATTAAGATATGCATTTTATTTCGAGTAGTGTAAATAAGCGTAGCGAATGAGTAAAATATTGCTTTCACCACGAGAATGCCCTTTTAGAGAGCCTAGATTACAACAATGTATGTGGGTGCATGCCCCTGGAACTTCTCTAGAGGTTTGTCACGCCTATAGCCGCCTCTCACTTGCCAACACGAAAATATTTCTTTCCTGCAAGCATGTGATTATGAAACTATGTTGTTATAGATAGTCGTAACTGCAGGTGCTGTCAAGGCCGCCCAGAGAGGTCGAGGGGGTAATTTGCCCTGGAGTCCCAGTTAAAGGGGGGGGGGAGAATAAAAAATTACAGTAAAATATAAATATAGATATAACTGTCAATAGATTTCCAGAATGCAGGATTTGACCATCTCTAGGACCTCAGATTTCAAATAATTCTGGGACAATGCCCCCAATGGAATAACCCAGGGGGCCAAAGTCAAATTTTGTAAATGGGCACCCAAAATTTCCAGGATACTGTTCCGTGTATGTTGGTTTTGGCATTTTTGAATATCATTTGTGGCGTATTTTGTGGTTACACATTATTATAACGATGTGAAATTTCAGGGCGTGCTTCTGCTCGGCTAAACTTGCACAAAAATGTGCAGGTATAAAAAATTTTAATAAATTAGGTATGATATAAAACAATGTATCAGTTAATAAAACAAACAGAAAACAAAACAACACTCATTGTCAAGATTGAAGACACTAGACTGGAGTGTCGAAATGTTGAGTCGTGAATGCAGTTCGACTGGGCTTTGCATTCATTTATCAAAACCGGAGTAGCGAGCGAAAACATGACTGATATTATACCAGGTTGCCGTGAACTCACAAACTTTAAATCACTAAATTTATTAAATTCTTTGTCAATGGTGCACACAAAATTAATTTCGAAAAACTGGCTAAATCGAATACAATTGCCAAATGTGCAATTACAATCTACAATTACAAAACAACGCAATTAATGCTCAAATTCCATTCAATTGCAATTGGCGATAATTTCAATTGACCACTTGCGTAATAGACAAATTTTAATCTCAACAAGTCTAGACAAAAAATTCATTACAGCTTGAAAGAGCAGCACAAAATTAGTAATATTCCAAAGTTTCGTTGCGAAATGTTGTAAAATGCGGATAATATAGCCTTGCGAAGTTTGCCGTTCTTCAGTCAGTTTGTATTACAAATGGGAAATTGACAGACCCAAAGGGTATTGGTCTGTCAATTGCCCCCGCGTAATGCAAAATGACTGAAAAACAGCAAACTTCGCATTATACATTATTATCCGCATTTTACAACATTTCGCAACGAAACTTTGGAATATTACTAATTTTGTGATGCTGTTTCAAGCTGTGATGAAATTTTTGTCTAGACTTGGTGAGATCAAAATGTTGTCTATATTACGCAAGTGGTCAATTGCACTGGAATTATATCAACTAATCAGATTGCAGCAACTGATCGAGCCTGATTAACAAAGGGGATATCATCATAACACTAAAATATATTATACATTTTATATTTGATAATTAGACAACTTATCTAATTGTTAAATATGATTTAAGAGTTGTCAACTAACAATTTGAAAACCGGCAAAGTAAAAACACCTTTAGCATTAGCCACTTACCAGTATTGAGCCAAACTTTTACACTCTTTATCTCAAACTTCGTGGACGAGTTGTTCGACCAGCAAACTACAAAGGATGGATCGTTGTATAATTCCTGAAGTTTACTAAGCTTCCAGAAGTGGCGGTTCCCACAACGATCTGAATGACACGGGTTCTTATGATGACGAGAACATTCTCCTTCTTCTTTGCCAAAGCAGCAGGTACATTTTACTTCGAGGTCATAGCTGGTCATGCTGAATAACAGTTGCTCTGGAGATTTAAGGTCGTCCAAACACTTTTTCAAAGTGGCCAGGAAATAACTGGCAAACTTGAAATGGTTGCCATCCTGTTTTGGAAAAACGGCAACTTTAATGAACTCGTGAAGGTCGATTAAATGAACATCATACACGTCGCCGTCTATAATAAACAGAAGCGAGGAGTAGTTGCAGTAGAAAGAAGGCGTGGCTTGTTGATGGGGGAAGCGCTTTTCACACTCAGAAATTAACTTCACTTGAAGCTTCGTAAACAGGCCCATCGGCACAAGTTTCCGAGGAAATGTCACAAACAGCGTTGGAACATTGCTAGCTTCCAACTCTTTTCCTGGTTTCATAGCTGGGGCTACTGAAGGGACATAAAAAGCTGCCTTTCCCTCGTACTGGCAAGAACAAATCAAATTAAAGTTTTGCATAAGCTCTTCTAAAAGTTCTGCGTCTTCCAGCGTCTCAAGATATTCTCGAAACAAAATGCCTTTCTGCTCGAACACATCAAGATCGTGCCTGGACAAGGCATCCAATTGGCCAGGCATGGAGATCACTTTCGTAAAACGATTCATTAGCCAGTGAGGATCCAATACAACCTTGCTGGATCCACTGTGGTGTACGACCACACCTTGACGGTGAAGAAATTTGATAGCTTGATCAAACTCTCCAACGCCACAGGCCTTCGCTTCCCGCTTAGCGTCGGCAACTGGGATATACTTGCAATCTAGTGATAGCTTCCGGCTTAAGGCAACTTCAAAATTTAGCCAATTCACAGGCATTAAAACCTCGTGGTTAAGGACTGCATTCGAGTAGTCAAAAAGCTCTCTACGAAGCTTTCGCACGTCGTCTCCGTCGTCGCCTTCTAATGTGTTGTCGATCTGGAAAACCCCAAGAATGACATTCTTATAGTCACTTGCAGACACGACATTTTTCATTCTCTTCTGTACGCTGAGTATTTTGGGGTCGTTGCCTTTCACCTTATCACTGTGAGTTAAGGCTATTAATACCGGAGGGCGTTTAAAATTACGACCGTCTGCAGTAGTACAGTGACCAGTTTTATCAGGGAACTGTTGATCTTGGTATTCTCCTAAACCTTGCAGAAATTTCAACCATGATGTAAAATGATCTAAATTGGTATTAAGATGAGGATTGTTCATCTCGATCTCTTTATTTTCAGCTCTGTTTTTAAACCTGGGGACGGCGGGTTTATCAAACTCCAGAGAAAGATCGTGAACCAAAACATAAGGGCAATGCGGTTTCACAAAGCAGCCATGGGTATCGTAGTAGATTGACTGTCCAGCAAAGTCACTTATAAATATCCGAAGAACGTCTTTCTGGTCATGTTCAGTGATCCTGTGCGACTTGATTTGGGATATTTCTTCTCTTGATAATGACTTCAGTGGCAACGGCTTCACTGGCAATGACTTCACTGCCAATGACTTCACTGGCAATGATTTCGCTGGCACCACTGGCTTCAATGACTCTGGCGCATCCCCTTCTAAATTCCTCTGAACTCCTCTATCAAAGTACTCGGCAGTTTTTTTGTATAACACAGTCTTTGCCTCATTTTCACTGGTCATAAAATTCTTCACTTCTCTCTTTCTCCAGGGATCTTCTGCATTTTGTTCTGATAGCTCGATAACATTAACGTCAATACCAGTGGTACTGCGTTGATCTTTGTCGAATGGTAATCCTAAAAGACGTCTCATCAGCGACGTCTTTCCGCCTCGGTCTTGCCCGACCAGCATAATCGGAATTCGATTATTTTTTGCTTGACCTTCTTGGAGAGCTCGCGAAAATGCATCGCTAAATCGTTTCTCTTCCATGAAAACATCTGTGGCTACAAATTAAAGTTAAAACAAAATTTAGCACTACGTAAAATAAAATATAACCTTCATCAAATGGTCCTCTATAAAGCCTTCCCCTTCTATCAAGCGCCCTGCCCTAAACGTGCTAATTCACATAAAATTGAAAGACCATTGGGAGTCTATTTATTGTCCATTCTTAGCAGGATAAAAGCAGAAAAAAGCAAAAGAACAACAGCTAAAGTCTCATTGCACAACATGCTTAATTGTTTACTTCCTAGGCTGGAAAACTTGTACCAAATTCCCTACGCGTAGCTGCGAGTGATCTGGATTGATCATTTGCCAGCTGCGAGCGGACCTATATAATCTGATGCGAGCAAATTTAACCAAAGCCATCGTGTCAAAATAAAGGTTATTTCCATTTTTCGCGACGTTTTTACGATTATTTTCCGCTTTTCGACGGTACGGTTTGTTTATAATAGCAAATTCAACAAATTTATCCATCTTGCGCTTTTGGGCAAAACTTGACGTCCGACATTTGTGCTGTCTTGAAGAACTTTTTTTGGCTTTTGCGCCCCCCCCCCCCCCCC